TTCCCCCTTTGTTAATTAAAAATAGCAACACACTCTGGGAACTCCAGCTAGTCTCCCCCCTCTTTCTGAAATCCAAGCTTTGTGTTTAATTAAAAAACAGAATTCAACATGTACTGATAAAAAGAAATTCTTACTAAAATAAATACAAACACGCTTTAAAAGTCCAGAAGATCCTGAAAGTTTTATGTACTTGAAATTGTTTTAGAAACAATGCTATTTCCACATTTATTAATTTATAACTGGGATATATTTTCAATTTCACACATTTGTTTCAAAGGAAAATCTTCTGAAAGAAAACACATCTTTCAGAAGTATAAGTGAATCTTTCTTAAGTCAGTAATGATACAGAATTGTGACAGTCTAAATCAATAATAGAAAACATTTAAGACTCAAAACAATCAACCAAGTGTGACATGATTAAGTATCAGTTTTTTTAAAAAAGACATATGTCCAACAAAACAAATGGTAATTAAAAGCCACTTCAACACTGCCAAACGCTGTTTTCTGTGTATCAGGTCTCTTACATGTGCACACACATACAGCACTGCACAGAAGCAAGGATATATGCACACCATCATGAAAGTGCTACTCTTTTTTTTCTTTAATATTTATTATTATTATTATTTTTTTTTTTAGTTTTCGGCGGACACAACATCTTTGTTTGTATGTGGTGCTGAGGATCRAACCCGGGCCTCATGCATGCCGAGCACGCTACCGCTTGAGCCACATCCCCAGCCCCAGAAAGTGCTACTCTTAATAGCAGGAAAGTAGAAACAATCCAAATGTCCATCAACAGATTAATGGATAAGCAAAATGTACACATACAATGGAATATTATCCAGTCATAAAAAAAGGAATAAAGCACTGACACATGCCAAACAACCATGGCTGCAACTTGAAGACATTATGCTAAGTAAAAGAAGCCAGACACTAAAGGCCACCTATTTTATGATTTCTATAAATAACAATCCACAATACATGAATCCATAGAGACAGAAAGCAGATTAATAGCTGCCAGGGACTGTGGGCATGAGAGACCAGGGAATGACTATTTAATAGGTATGGGTTTTCTTTTGGGGTGATAAAAATGTTTTGGAACTAGAGAGTGATGATGATGATTGTACAACACTGTGAATGCATCACATGCCACTGAAATGTATACTTTAGTAAATTTTTTTAAAAATATATTTTAGCTTTAGGTGGACACAATATCTTTATTTTATTTTCATATGGTGCTGAGGATTGAACCCAGTGCGTCACGCATGCCAGGAAAGCACACTACTACTTGAGCCATATCCCCAGCCCTACTT